TTCACCAAATCACCTCGCACCTTGCTCCCGGAGCGAAAGGTCCCAGGGGCCAGTCGAGATCTAAGGCCCCGAAAACGCGGCGGTCCCGCGGTAGGTCCCCTCGGGTCCTCGGCATGCCCGCTCCTCTTCCTCCTTATCGCGGATAGGCGATGTCGCGATCGGTCGACGGGGCCCAAACTGTCCACTCTTCCGCGGTCCCCTGGGCCTCTTCGGTCACCTTCCCCCTCCCGGGGCCCTGTGGCCGGTACCTTCGGGATAACGGAGGTTATCCCGGGACCCGTGCACGATGTGGCTGCCGCACGATGACCGTTAGGTGAATGACTTTCGAAGCCGAGGGTGCAGTCCGTGGCCGATTCCTGAATCGCCGGCCCCCACCTCGGGGCCCGATCCGAGCGAGCGCCGCGATCGGTCGCGTACTTCGGGGCCTTACGGCCGCGCGACTCTGGGCGCGCAAGTCGCTCGGAGGATCACCGGAGAAGCGTGCTCGGCTCCATCCGCGGTGTGGCACAGGTGGGCCCGCTCGCCGGGTCCGAGCCGCCAAGTGGTGGGGACCGGGTGGGACTCACCTGGCCCCCGGGGAAGGGGCAGCGAGGGGAGGGGCCTCGGGGCTCCCCTCTCGGGCCCGGAGCCCTCGCTGGCCCTCCCCACGGGAAAACTCCGGCCGCCAGGAGTTTCCGCTCTGCCGAGCCGAGCCGCGACAGACTGCGGGGGCCTGCGCGGATGAAACGTCATTCTAGATTTTTTTTTTTTTTCATGAAAGGCCCAGAAATTCGGACCCACGTCCGAATGATAATTCGATGATATCGTTGCCAGAAAGTTATTGCCATTTTTGGGATTCAAGATTTGACAATGTGCCTCGCCGAGAAGCGACAGACTGCGGGGGCCTGCGCGGATGAAACGTCATTCTAGATTTTTTTTTTCATGAAAGGCCCAGAAATGCGGACCCACGTCCGAATGATAATTCGATGATATCGTTGCCAGAATGTTATTGCCATTCTTGGGGTTCAAGATTTGACAATGTGCCTCGCCAGGCGCGATAGACTGCGGGGGCCTCTGCGGATGAAACGTCATTCTAGATTTTTTTTTTCATGAAAGGCCCAGAAATTCGGACCCACGTCCGAATGATAATTCGATGATATCGTTGCCAGAAAGTTATTGCCATTTTTGGGATTCAAGATTTGACAATGTACCTCGCCGAGGAGCGATAGACTGCGGGGGCCTCTGCGGATGAAACGTCATTTTATATTTTTTTTTTCATGAAAGGCCCAGAAATTCGGACCTACGTCCGAATGATAATTCGATGATATCATTGCCAGGAAGTTATTGCGATTTTTGGTGTTCAAGATTTGACACCTCGTTCTTGAATGAAGCTGTTTTTCCGTGAAACATATTTTAACGACTTATTATGTTCATTGGTATATTGGCTAATTTTAACCTCGAAGGCTAATCAAAATGTGCCTTAATAAATTTTAATTGCGTCTTTTTCGGTGCTCGAGTGATAAGACATGGAGCAATAATTCGAGAAATTCCGGGGAGTAGAAAGGGGGTCAAGAAAGAATGTTACAATACCTCTAATTACTCGTAAGGCCTTGAGCCTTGTGAACTCGCGACCGTAAGGAAGGTCAGCATCAAGACCTATTATCTTGAGAAAGCAGATTAATGAGCAAAAGCAGACGTCGAATTCTCTATCATCCATCCCAATTCTGTGCATTTCCTATTTCTCGATTAACCGTCAACCTCCCGTATTTCGTATTAACCATCACAGACATAACACGAAGCAACAATGGAGAAACGAAAGGTTGCTGGCGATGCAATTGTTCAATAAGCAATTGCGCCCGCAAGTCGGAGCATCGTCAGCAGTTCTTCGGGGCTAATATTACTACTATTCGATTACGTACAAATGATTACTCCCGTGGTACAATAGTGCTCATGGAAAATCGTCATCGGATCGATGATTTCATAAGTCGCTCTCTTATTTATAATGCTTACTCCCCCACTTTAACCACTGTCATAATTAACGCGGAGCGAGATTAATTCGTTGCAACCTATAAGTTACATTACTTCGAGCTGCAATAACTTGTGTTTAGAATAGAATTAGAAAAACAAGCTTGCAACGCCTTTTTTATAACAATTCGACGTGCGGTTAAGTATATCAGAAGTGACAGTGGAGTACTTATCGCAGAAAAATAATCGAGGAAATGGATAAGTCGTGGAATTTTCAAATTTCGGGAACGGTGGGCATTCGTTTACTAAATGGTAATCCCATTTCGTAAAACGATGTCACTCGCTCGGACCGGGAATTATTTCGAAAGAGGCTACCAGTTATCGTGCAGTCGATCGCTCGATTTCTACGATTCGACGAAATTTCAGCCTCTCTCTGATTTTCTCCTGATCTGCCCTCTCTCTCGGTGTTAGAGGATTGCCTATCGGACCCTCTCTGTCGCACAGAGGTTCGGCTCTACGCCGTCTGATGTTACGAGCTCGAAACCCCCCGCTGGGAAAGGCGATGAGCGACAATTAGTGATACTCTCGAAGTGCCCTCCGGGTAGTCGGTAATTACCACCTTGTAGCTACACTTGAGAACTTTTACTTGCTTGTACGTCGTACCTTGAAACCCTGATTTTCTGACGATACTGCCCGTGACAGGAGGACAAGCTGGAAGGACGCCCGATTTCCGCCTCGACGCTTCTTCGTCGATCCACGTAATGGAACTCGGATCGATCGTATATCGGGAAAATCGAAAGTAACATTTCGTTCGAACGAGGCCAAATAATATAGAAATATACCCTGGATGAAGGGAATTGTCCTGCTGTGTTTCAGAATTTCGTTCACCTGAGATGTACCGCTTTCCGCGCCGAGAAAAAAATCCCATTTAACTGGAGGAGGATTTTCTTCATTTCAAGAATATAATTACTCGACTTATTTTACTCACTTGATTTATTCCAGTTTATTCCTTGAATTAAAAAAATATTTCTATATGCCATACATGTTTCCTTACAGACTTGTCAATTATATCACACGTGTTGCGATACCACTTGACCGTACAGTTTCTTATATTCGGTACCGTCTAATTTCAGAGCATCTAGACACGATCGATACTGCATAGAATATTAGTTTCATGAATTCTAAAGTCACTCTATTGTAATTGTCGATCGTTAGTCGTATGACGGTGGAGACATTACCGTAACGGTAAGGAAGTCCTTTTCCCACGCGTCTTCAAAGGGGCAGTGCGCCCTGTTTGAAAGGGGAAATCCCTTTTGGGCTCGCAATTTCTATTAGCTTACTTCTACCGAGGATTTCCTTACGGTCGTAGTTTTATTTCGAGGAAAACCGGGGGACTTTCAAGGAAAAGTAGGAAATCTGCCTGGGAATTGAGGGCATGCCCGAAGGACGGAGTGGGAGACAATGCCGGTGCAGGCCATTGTGTACTTCGCTCAAAAGGCCTCGAATGTCGTAAACCGATGATGGTGGTTGTACCGATCGTTTAATCGGTTTTCGGGTTTTACGATAGCGCTGCTTCGCCTCGATTGGACCCCGTAGACGCGTTTGCCTATGCGCGTTGTAAAAGCGTTGTAAACGAAAAATCCTTATTCGAAAATTCCTTTTTGCTCGCTGTCCGTTTCGGCTTTAGTGAATGTCCATTTTAAGCTGATCGGTGGAAAAATAAAAGGTTCGTTTGTCGGCGTTTATTCCAGGTCAACAGAAGCACCGAAAAGCAGCCGGTGGACTGCTAAAAGGATATTTTTTCCATTTTTATATCTCAATTAATCCGTGTATGACGAAAATGGCCCTAGCGAGTGATTCATCTCCGAAATTATTGCCTCGGTTATTTATACTTAATGCAAATAATTCAAATCAATGGCGAACGTGCATAATTATCATTGATTTTAATAGCACCTTATGAAGAGTTGAATTTAATTTTCACGCCTTCGGGAAATCGATTAATTAAAATAGAGCAGGATTTTTTTTAACGAGTTTGATTTTTCTTTACGTTAGCGATATTCGTCGCAAATTTGCCCTTTTAAGGAGAGACAAGGAAGTATCCCAATTCCTCGGCGGTCGGTGGATCAAAGATCTCGTAGGTATGGAAATCATTAAAAAATGCCTATCCATCAAAGCCGAGAGAAAGGGTGCGGAGCTTGCCACACGCACGACAGGACAAGGAAGACACGTGCGAACGTGTAATTCGTATTCGCACGATACTGGCAAGAAAACGGAGAAATAATTACACGACACCTCTTGGTAACCTCTCAACTTTGTTGCGAGATCCACCGAGGAGAGTATCGGGGTACTCCTCGTTTTCAACGCCGACATTTCCGAGAGGGAACGAGCAGGTGTATATACAGTACTTTCAAATAATATGACACCTTACATTAAAGATATCAGATCCCAAAACATTCCACTTGTCACCTGTAAATTTGAAAATCCCGCCGCCAATTCTCACCTGGCCCTTTGGCTACTAAAAGCGCCTAAAGCCTTCCGACGTTTGGTCGAATGTTGCCTGCACGTGTCGATGAATTTCGCCCATATGTCGAGAAGGTTCCATAGTCGAAAAACAATTTCTACGCTAACTCGGGGTAGATATATCGTATAAAAATTGAACGCACTTAGATGAAAACCCATTAAATTATTTATTATTATTGGCAGTAGCTTTTAGAATCATTAATTATCTAAACTTAAATGTTTATATCTAGGAAAGTTATACACCACGAGGACGTTCGGCTGACTCGATTAGCCGTTCTCATTCTTTGATATATATTTTTATTAATACAGTATGGATACTGGCGGCTATGTTCTTCCTTGTTGTAATGTATCTAGCGGAAGTGCATTAAAAATAATTGTTGAGGAGCATTGCAGAACCGGCTCGTCAGCTTTTGTACCACCGCGAGCGATGCTGGACGGTGGTAGTTCCGCGTTGCTCCGCGGAAGTTCTAACAGGTGGCGCCACGCGCACTGACCGGTGTGGCCACGGCAGTCGACGCGGTTCAAGGTACCCTCGCGTTTGTGTACAAACAGAACTTTGCGGACAAAGCGGGCGTGGACGGGAGAACGGATTTCGGGAGAAATATTCAGTCCGATTACGGCAGGTAGTCGGTGAGGATCTTCAATGGCGATTGATCACAGGTGAATTAATCATACTTATTCTATTATAACCTAAATACGAAGTAGCGAACGGGACAAAATGTCGGACGTAACGCCTCGCGAAGTTTCTAGAAAACGACGGTCGGTGACGGTTATTTTTTTAATTAGATATTCTGAAGGTAATAGAAATAGTTACTAGAGTAAAGTCGGTAAGAATGATATTCGTTTCAACCTTTCATGGAGATATGTAAGGGTACGTTTCTTATTAATACAGTCTATTATCGTTATGTTTCCTGGGATTTAATTCCTACATCATGATGATGCAATTCTAATCTAGATACGAAGTAGCGAACGGGACAAAATGGCGGACATAACGCGTCGCGAAGTTTCTAGAAAAAGACGATCGGTAATGAAATTATTTTTTACATTCGATATTTTGAAAATGTTAATATGTACTTATAGTAAGTTTATTTCGTTGGATATAAAAACCACTTAATGTGATTATTCGAGGCGATGTAGATATTAATACGTACAGTCAATTAATTTAATAACATACAAGATCTACAGATGCTAGTCACGTGTATTTGGTTTCCCATATATGTCCGAGATGTTTCAAGTATTTACAAAATTTGTCATCCATTAGCTAGAACAAATGAAGTGCTTTTCAAGGATAAATTGTGAAAAAGTGTAGGTTTTATATCAGTGTAGGTTTAAATCGTGTTTTTCTCGAACGATCAACAACAACTGGCTCGTTGGTCTAGGGGTATGATTCTCGCTTCGGGTGCGAGAGGTCCCGGGTTCAAATCCCGGACGAGCCCGTGGAAGATATTTTTTTTTATATTTATTTCCCTCCCCCGATTTTTCTCATCTTAATAGTATTCAGAGGACGTCCACGCATACTCAAGTTTTCTGAGCGATTCGCAAATTTATTCGTAATTCACAAGTCGTGTCCAATCGCGAGGCATTTGCATGAACTCGGACTGCGTACTCATAATGCAAGACGCGTAAATTACAGACTTTGTCTTCATCAGAAGACGACACGTACATACCTCTCCCTCGATTTTGCATCTCGTGAATTCAAAGTCGGAAAGGGCATAACGTCATTCGTTACGTTCTAACCTTATCCAGGATATATGGAATAATAACTTGAAATGAGTCCAGATATTAAACTCTGATATGAAACAAATGAGAGCGCTTTGCATTATTGCATGTAACACCCCCTCTAAGGATTATTATACCGTTGGGATTATTTTTCAACTACGATTTCACGTTCCCTTTTACACGCAAGGAATTATCCTTTTCTCATTTTTCCATTAATGACAATTAATTGGGAATTGGTTGGTCACCTCTTACGTGATACTTCCCTCGGCTTGAAATAGTGTAATGTACGATTGGAGTAGAAATACCGCGACCTTGTAAAAAATGAACGTCAAGTCTGCATGAGATATTAATTTCCTCTGTAGAATTTTTTAAATCTTGATCATGCCAGTTGGTTACACGGATTAGTACGAATATCTTCAGATTATGAATCGCGAATCAGGAGTCATCAGGGTGAAGACCGCTTAAGCGGAAACTTTCGGACTAATCGGAAGATCCATCATTAATCACGGATCCCGTTCGTTTCGTAAACGACTCAATTTCAAGTAACCGAGCAAAGTCGGGTATAGGACCTCTCCTTCGATATAGCACATCTTTAAATTCATCAGCGCCTGCAGCATAAATGCTGACATTTATGAGAGCCATCTTGGGATCGATGGGCTTTTTTATTTAAGACCTCATTGTAATTATTTTTAATAATTGCTCCCGCCTACGCAAAGAGGCCAGGTCGAACGTCTTATGGACCTCTTATGAACGTTTATGGACATCTTATGGACGTCTTATGAACGTACTATGGATGTCTTATGAACGTCTTATGAATGTACTATGAACGTACTATGAATGTACTACGGACGTACTATGGATGTCTTATGAACGTCTTACGGACGTCTTATGAACGTCTTATGAACGTCTGATGAATGTCTTACGGACGTCCGAGTCCCCTGGAGATCGCATCGTCCTCGGGTCGCATGAATCATGGTGATCTCGGTGCAAGAGGGATCGATTCCGGGCGAAAACGATAGATCGATCGGCGCGATCGGATGTTTCGCGGTCACTCGTCTGCGACCCCTGACAAGGCGAAATTAGGCGACCGATCGATCGATCGATTGACATCCCGCGACAGGTTCAATGGGGATAGGACGAACGTGCGATTCGATCGGTCGATTGCGTCCCCGGGTTTGGACATCGGGAATTAACGGGATGCCGAGTCGGTTTTCTTTTTTTTTTCTGTTTTCTTTTCTTTTTTTTTCCTTCCTCTCGATTATGGCGCCCATCGGGACAGGTTTTACAGCCAGGTCTTACTTTTTAACAGTCCCCATAAGTGGGCTCGGCGATCCCGAGCGACGTGTCATTTTGTTGTCGCTACTTAAAAACTATACTTTTGCGGAAGATTTATGGAACTGCGGGAGATAAAGCGCGGATACTTTTACGCCGGTCAGGAGTAAGTAGGTCTAGCTTTCGGATTGCACGTCATTTTTCTTTTTTTTTTTTTCTTTCCTTTCTTTCTTTCTCTCACTTTTACGTACGTTCGACCGACTTTTGATGAATGCCGGACAGCTGGGGGGTCTTTAAGGGAACCTTCGGTTAAATTATGGCGACTTTATGGATACACTGCCGATATGGACGAAATGTTTAACTGACGGGCCGATAACGGGAACCCCTTCGACTCGTTTTTCGATTATGGGCTACATCGAGGCTTTACTACCGGGGTGTTACTTCTTAACAGTCGCGCCGTTACATTGTTATCGACCTCCGTTAAAAACGTTTGGTCGTCATTAGGGGGAAATAAAGTTCCGCTGATTGATGGGGTTTTCGGTAACAACCCATTGCACCTCGCTGTGCAGGGATATTGCGCTTATCAACGTTAAATGAATGCCTTTTATCTTTGCTCCAGGCTCTCCGGACAGAAATCAGCTGATCGCGAAAAAGTAGGTGCGAAATGCAGGACAATCTGTGATTTTATTCCTCCCGATAATTGGTGCAAGTGTATGCGGTGCATTCACACGGAGTCTACATCGTCAACCTCTGCTCTGGTGAGTAGCTCGTTTATCAGATTGCCCACCAATATCGTTCATTTATCTTAACAATGAATTTCAATCCATGCTCTTTATCTCTTCTCCAGGGCTCCCGGGCACCAATCAGCTGATCGCGAAAGTGTAAGTGCGAAGTGCAGGACAATCTGTGATTTTATTCCTCCCGATAATTGGTGCAAGTGTATGCGGTGCGTTCACACGGAGTCTACATCGGCGACCTCTGCTCTGGTGAGTAATATCTATAATTCGCATCCTGCATGCCTATGTGGCTCGCACTCGTTAATACGGAGGCGCGATTCTCTCATTGCGGTTGCCGTTACTCTTACGTAAGCATCCGCGGATAGGCCTCGGTCATTTTTATTCGGCCGCGTGTCCCCGGTGCGAACGTGCCCTAAGAAAGCAATTAAGCCCCGTACACAAGTCCCGCCGACCTGGCTGCGTTTCGCACCTACTCGCAAAGAGCAAATAGAAATCCGCTCTTTAAAGCGTAAACTCGACGGCGCCAATTGCGTGGCCGGGTTTTCGAAAATCCGGGGAATTTCCATTGGATTAAATCGACCCGCGGTGAAATTGACGGCCCTGGGAAACGCGACTCGATTAGACCTCATGTGGGTCAGATGTAAATCGAGATGGGCGTAACTAATTAAGGCCTAATTAAATTCCCGCGTGCCCCGCCGATACGTGCGTACTATTACCTCGATACGCCCCGTTATCTATCCTTCTTTCCAGAAATGAGTCATTCTATCAGCTCGCATTCTACTACATTAGTTGCCTCGCTAATGACTCGCCGGTAACGAGGCACTTAGTACAAGGGAGACAATTAATTAGAATCAGAGGTTAAGGCTAGAATTTATCGGTAATACTTGAAGGGTCTCTTTTTATTTCTCTCCTGGGAAGTAGTCTCTCTGAATAGTCTTTCTCTTAGAATAATTGAACGTAAAGGATGAAAATTGAGGAATTTCTGTATTATTTACTTGTTTTATTTCTTAATGGAAAATTTGAGGAAAATTCGGTACGTCCTGATTGCTGTAATGTTGCGACCATCTCGTGATCATACTTTGTTTTATTTATTATTGGAAAATTTGAGGAAAATTCGGTACGTCCTGGTCGTCGTAATTTTGCGACCACCTCGTGATCATACTTTGTTTTATTTATTAATGAAAAATTTGAGGAAAATTCGGTACGTCCTGGTCGCCGTAACGTCGCTACCACCTCGTGATCATACTTTCGACACTTTCGAGCGATTGCTCAGTGCAAAGAAGAAGAGTCATTACGCAACCGACGACCGCCAGCGACGGCGGCGATGTCGAGGATGACAACCGAGTTGCCATAAAAGTGAATGCTTAACCGATAATACCTTTTGGCAATCGGCTGGTCTATCGCATCCGCGATCGCCTTAAGGCTTAAGGCCGGTCGCCGTCGACTTCTATTTTTCCTTTCTTTTTATTTCCAAGCTTATGTAAAGGTCACTCGATCGTCCAGAAGAGAATTTCCAGATTGACAGCCAAATGGAACGTCTCTCGCGAACACCCGGGTAACCGGTTGTATCCCATCCATTCGCGGGGATTTATTAATAACAATGACGACTTTGTTTACAATGCCGCGATCGGAGATTAATCGACGCGGTTACCGGGCCGGTGGTAAAAGGAGACACGTAATTGCAGGACATTTAGTCCCCTGTCGGCACGTCCTACGTGTATTGGAAAAGGCGTCCGCCTTCGGGATCTTCCTCCTAGAAGGAAGGTCCATTATCCGCCCGGTAATTATTTATTTTACCGCGCGATAACGGATCATTAGATCCGATACCTGGGATTATCTCGCCTTGGGAGAAAAAAAAAATCAGGAGACGCAGATAATGGGGCCAAAATCCAGATTCACTTATCGGATCCGCACTTGTTACGTGTGTTACGGCGATAACCCGGTACCCCGTAATTGCAGCTGATATTAATATTAATAATTAGCTAGAGGGGGGTAATATCCACGGTTCGATTCATAGTCGGCGGGCATTGCCGTGTGCACCCCGACGTGCAAACAAGATCACTCGCGGTAATTGCCATCACTTGTACGTGTGCCGGAGGCGTCCGTGTCGGTGCGCAACACTTACGCGAAATGAATGAAATTCTCATAATTAATCCCGCACCACCGTGACGTACTTAGACGCCGTTCCTAGGCATCATCCCTTCTCTCCTCTCTCGCGGGTTTAATTTCCCTCTCGACGCCGCGTAAATTAGCCGCTCCTCGCGCCTCTAATTAACTCAGATCAGTTTGCGGATTATTAATTGCGGCCTGCTCGCCGGGGTAATGTACGTCCCGGGTAAGATGGGGTTGAGCCGAACCTAGAGGCTTCGTGAAATGGCGCCCTTCTCACGGCACTTTGCGGATTCGCCGACATACGTGGTACGCAATGTCCACGTACTGTACGGTTACGCGCACTGTACACGATATGTACTCTATATTCTGGGACTACCCACACGCATGCCTCGGCGTAATGCGGCTGTACACGTACCGAGGGCACGCGCGCGCGCGGTACTGCGTGGACTGCAAATGCCCAGGGTCCGCACGCGTGCGCGTAATGCTCGCACTTATGCGTGACCGAGTCACTTGTGGTTACTATTTCCTTAGACCTTACGCTTTCAATTACCGAGGAGGGTCGCCTCACAGTTTTGCGCAATCTTCCCCCCTAGGCAAGGCGTGCGCGAGGTGAGAATAGACGGTGAATGATTGGAGAACAAAGGTTGATTATCGCGGGCCGTAAGCGTCGCGTGCGTCTTAATTACTCGTTATCGTGCCAAAGTAGTCGTTTATAATTCATTACTTCGCTACTATCACCGGTAGTGCCATCGGTTTAATCGCGATTCATGTCTAGGAGAGAGTCGCAGAACTCTGATAACGCCACTTGGGCGCTTATCAACGACCGTCAGACCGTTTCCGATGGTTCCTTCGCATTTGCTACCTCTTCGCCGAGACCGCTCTAGCCCTTGATCATTCTTATCATGTCTTTTTCATATTTTCCTACTAATGACATATGTCTTATCGGACTCCAATCGACTATTATATATAAACGTTAAATCCGAGCAAGGTCGAATATATAAAGGAGGACCGGAAAACCTTATCAACGGTTATCAGCTCCCGTTTCCGATGGTCCCTTCGCCTGTGCTACCCTTTCGCCGAGACCGCTCAAGCCTTTGACCATTCTTATCGTGTCTTTTTCATATTTTCCTACTAATGACATATGTCTTATCAACCATTCCGACTCCAATCGACTATTATATATAAACGTTAAATCCGAGCAAGGTCGAATATATAAAGGAGGGCCGGAAAGCCGTAATGACGCCACCTCGACCCCATCAACGGTTATCAGCTCCCGTTTCCGTTGGTCCCTTCGCCGGTCCGCTTTCCGTTGGGTCGCCCATCCCGTCCGAGCCCTTGACCCGGGTTCAGCCCTTAATCGCGCGTCCCTTTTTATCCCCTCGCAAATCACGGAGGCGTCGCCGATTACGCAAGCTCGCACCGGCAGCCGTAACTCGGGAGGTTACTCCCCGGACCCGGGGGGCTTAGGTTCGACCGGAGGGACATTAACGATCGGCGCGACCCGTAATGGGATTACTTTGCGTAAATCACCTGGGAGTCGCGCCGAACGCCGGACGACGAGTTCTCGGCCGCCTTGAGATACGTCCGACGTTTAACCCCGGGGTCCCGTCGGACCCGGCGTCGTCGCCGACGTCCCTGGAACCCCCTCCCCCGGGTATCGATCGCTTGGTCCCGCCTTTCCCGACAGCATCCGGATCCTCCTTTCTCTGCCTCCGCCCCGGTGCCACGGGTAAGCGTTACCTGGAACTCCGGGAATCTCTCTCCCGAGGGATACCCGTTCCTCTAATCGAGACTTTACGAGCACCCTCTATTCCGGCATGCGTGCCTCGTAAATGACCCCCCAGGACCCTCGACGACCTCTCCCACATTACCTCCTCCACGCACCTCGTTCGATAAGCCGCGGAACCTTCGCACCTTCGCCTGGTACTTGTTCCCTTGGGAAGGGTTAAGGTGTATCGGGAGCACCCCCCTGCCCTCTTAGATCGTAGCTAAGGCGACATTCATGATTCTAACCACTTATCAGGGAAAGTGGTTCCATATGGATGCTCGTTGGGTCTTTTTACCCGGCGGGACTCCACCCAGAAGAGACTCGGGCTCGACGAGCGTCGACCGCTTCCACTTCTTCGCGCGCCTCCACTTTTACGCCAATGTCGACTTTGTATCGGGATTGAGTATGAGGACGTTTATTCACGGGATGGATTCTTCTGAATTCCCGTAGGGCCCTGATTAGGGGGAGATAAAGACATCTTCAACACTCAACGTACTTCTGCTTTACGGAGGCGACTCTGGGGATGGGTCGACGGGATAAAAGGGCGACCTTGTACACCAGGGCCCCGTAATTTATTTTTACTTATTTCTCGGGAAGGGGCTCCTGTCGTCGTTTACAAGGCGAGGAGATCGACCGGGCGGATGGGAGGAAGTCTCGTTGAAAATTATTAATAATCCACGTCGAGCCATCCCTCCTGGCGCTCTCGACGCCTCTTGGACGAGCGATGGCGTCTTTGTCGAGACCGGCTTTTGCACCTTATAGAGGAACCCAGATGGACGGAAGAAAAGGGTGTAGGATCTCGGTGGATGATTGAATAACGCTAATAACAGCCCCGGTAGCTGTAACTTACAGGTTACGCGAGCGCTTCGGGCACCTCGTAAGTCATTCTCGAAACGTCGGCTCGACGGGACTCTTCTTGGTCGTCAAACCGGGCTCGGAAAAACTCCCCCTAACCCTGGATATACGAGATAAGAGACTCCCTGATAATCAGCCACGCAATTCCCCGCGTCTCTTTCGCTCTCTCCCTCACATCACCTCTTCTTCCCCGAATTGAAAAATTTGTATTTCATGTCATGGTAATGTAAAGTAACAGACGTTGAACGTCGAGTTCTTAGGAATACATCGAGATCGATGTATTACTTAACAATCTGACTATCCTAGACCCGTAGTTTAATATCTTAGGAATTTTCTTATCACGCTCAAAGTCACCCTTAGGTACGAGTACCGAAATGTGGACCTCATATGATAATTTAAGAATTTTAATTTAATTTTTTCTATCTTTATCCGTTAACGCGGACCTTTTTACACATTTCCCCGCTTTTCTTGAGTATCGGATTATTCATCAATTTCGTGGACTTAATCGACTCGG